GAGCCTGACACACCGAATAAAGTTCACATCAAAACCCATCTTTCCCAACATGGTGAGGAGGAAAGTCCAGTGTTCTCGATCAAAACCTTTCTCTTGATCAATAGAGAGTATAGCAACAGGTATGTTAAGTTGGTTGGCTAGTGCAGCAACTTCTCGTAGAAAGGCGACATTCTCGCCAATAAAATGCCCAGGAACGCCGCAGGTCTGATCAGGAGCGACAACTTTAGATATCACCTTTAACAGACGGCCAGTTAAAACACGAGCGAAAAGCTTGTAGTCAACGTTTAGAAGATTAATCGGTCGCCAATTTTTGTGGTCCGTACGATCACCCTTCTTGAAAATCAGAGTAATGAGAGCTTCACGTTGAGAAGAAGGGAGGAGACCGGCCTTCAGATAAACATTCAAGACAACAACAAGATCTTTCCCAAACAAGTCCCAGAAAGACACATAAAACTCCATAGGCAGGCCGTCAGAACCAGGAGATTTGCCCTTTGCCATACCCAGAAGAGCAGGATGAGCCTCAGTGGGCGAGATGGGGCCCCCACAGGTCGCAGATTCATCGGACGATAAGGATAAAGAAAAGTGATCAAGACGATCATCTTGGACATCGAGGCCAACAGAGGAAGCCGCAAGAAAATCGCTGTAAAACGAGACGCAGGACTCACATTTGTCATCGATATCACTCACCGTTAAGCCATCTGAGGTTTTCATCACAGAGATCCTGCTGTCAGCTCCACGCCTCCTCTCCAATCGCAAAAACTAACGTTAAGACATTTCGCCTTCCTCAGCCTACTTGACACGGGAGCGAACCCGCGCTCGCTCAGCTTCAGTGAGATCAAGAGAGGCCAGTTGTGCAAGAACTCTTTCATTAACGGGCAGCAAACGAACACTACCATCATCAATTTTACCTTTCAGATGAGACGCAAGGGCAGAGAGGACAGAACGAGGAAAGCAACGATCATTGTGTGCCCGACTGCAGTGTTGAAGCGCAAGACGCTTAAGGAGCTCCTTCCCGCGGTCCCACCAATCTTGCAGTGAAATGGAACGAAGGTTTGCGAAGTCTCCAACCCAGGGAGGGGGGGGGGGGGGGGGGGGCTCTTTCCCAACCTTTTTTTTAAATAAAACCCAAACGATTTTTCCACAATTTGCAAACCAACCACAAAGGGTCTTGCAGGGGGTTTTGTGACCGGTTCATGCGCTTTCCGCAAAAAACCAAAGACAAACGGCCTTGAGAAAAACAAAAAAAAAGGAAGTCAAAGGGGGGCGTGT